TATACTACAACTAGTAAAGAAGAGGAGGAGCTCAAAGTCTTTTGGCTTCATTTGAGACAAGTTGTTTCTCTGTCCATTCGTTATACAGTCCGTGGTTTAGCGTGAGGCAATCGTAAAGTTAATTAGCACTTATCACAAAGCTGAAGTTGATGGGAAAGTTCTTTTGAGTAAAGACCAAAAATATATTTTTTTTCTCGCTGGTGACAGTAGATTAAAAGTCAGGGAATCACCAAAGTCACTTTTGTCAGTTGCATAGACAAAGGCGAGAGAACACAAGCACAAGTATCACTATAGGGTTTCCTTACACATATTGTATAAACAGAGACACACACTCACGGAGTAACTTGAGTCCGTTTGAGCTCTCTGAATCAGGAGTGTCTCCGTCCTGCCCCGCCCTGATCTCTCTCTCTCTCTCTCTCTCTCTCTCTCTTTCTCTCTCTCTCTCTCCCTCTCTCTCTCTGTTTGAAAAGAGGAGGCGGCTCCAGAGAAGTGACTTACATAAGCTCTGCCTTAGTAACACCTAGCAGGACTTAAATGAGAAATCTACCATGCAACTGTTAAATGAGATCTGGAACTTCATTACCGAAGCCTACGAAATATCTTTTGAAGTGTGTATAATTTAACATATACAATAAGCTAGCTGTCACACTAAATTAACTTTGTTTTTTTTTTGGTTTGTTCCAAATGTTTTTTAATTTTTCTTTCATCTTGCACTCTTTAAGCAGTTTCTTAACAATGGCCGATGTCCTACATTTCTTCACACAAAGACACACAGACACAGCAACACACACACACGCATGCATATCAAATTCTTAGCGGCTAATGAGTGCTTGCTTAGAGGCTGCATTAATTAACGGGGTTCCCAAGAGAAAAGAGCCGCTCGCACACACAGGACAGACCTGGGTCAAATGGTATTTAGGAAGAATCTTTTTTGTTGTTGCATGTTTGCCAAGATTGTCAGGGGTTAAACTGGGGACATGCTCATTTTGCAGTATTGTACTGTTGGTGCAGCCAAACACACAGAGGCAGCATTTTAAATTGTTTGGGTTTGCTGTGTCAAGGCTTTGGAAAAGGGTTAATTTTTGACTGAATTCAGTTTTGCATTTTTTTTCATTGAAATAAAATGACTTTGGAAGCTGCTGCTGGTTTGGTACAGTGTGTACCAGAAGCTCTGTGTTCTCTTCTAAGAGTGTTCGAGATTCACTTGCCGCCTCCCACACACTCCAGTGCCCACACTGATTATATCAAACATGTCTGAGCTTAATCAAAAAGTCTATGGCATGCCCAGACTGGAGCTGAGGTCTCTGGTCTCTGCTTTAGAAACCTTAACACCACCGATCAATCAGGGAAGATAAGCGTTTATTATCTGGGAATCCTCCACTGAGGCTCAGGATAGGCCATATTGGCTCTGATTTTCTTATCATGGCTAATAAGATTTAGAGAGATGCTTAGTTCTTCAGCTATCTCACATAACTATTTGACTTGAATGTACACCACAGATGAGGTAGATAAGCATACGATATCGTGTAAATTATTCCACCAATAAGCAAGCACCCTGGCATTTCTTGATAACATGCCAAGTATTTGGTACAAAAGCTGTCACGCACACACAGTATATTGCTTTCACTCTTGCTCAAAGGTTTTTGGGGTGAGCTGCATGTGTGAACGCCAACAGCCACATTTTTCCCTCAGACTTTATTTTGAGTTTTTCCTGTCAGCCCCAGAGTATTTTTTTTTTTTTCAGCAGAAAGTCAGAGTGAGCTGAGCTGGAGAATTGTTCTCGAGCGAGCCGGAGGAAATTCTCTATACATTTTTAGGAGTGCATGTGAAAACAGCTGTAGTTAAAGCCTTTATGATTTGATTCTGCATGAACATGTTCAGTCGTTCTGTGGGTGTGGTGCAGTGTCAGACCTACAGCAATGACTGGAGGGAGATACTGAGAAGAAAACTAAATAATTACAATCCAACCAAACCAGAGGTAGTGGTAACCAGAGATACTCCCAAAAGGGTTACCTTTGTCTTTTTGTATTTTAGGTAACATACCTACCCTGCATTCCCACTCAACACTGCTGTTTGGATGATCATATTCCTCTGGTTGTTGTCCGTTAATATAAACTGTCAACACACACACAGTAAGAAAAACAATTAGGACATCACTCCAAAATTGAGAGCAGAGTGAGTCTCTGGTACCTATTTTGGAAAAGTATAAATTAGTCCCACCTGTGTATGTTTGAGAAAATTGCTGGTTACACGCTGAAGAGGAGCGTCTGCTCGAAACGCTCACGTGGCAATTAAAATACAACTTTGGAGTGCTGTAATATTGTGTTTCTTGTTTGAACATTTTTCGGGATTCAGCACCCAGTTGTTTTACGTCGAAAGGGAGTTGAGCGTGTTTTCTCTATCAACATACACAGTAAAGCAGTTCCTTGATGTATATTTAATCAGGAACATAAAAAGAAAATAATGAAGGAATATTTCAAATTGATACCAGAAGAAGGCCAGCATATGTACTATACCACCCCTGAATAATAAGCCACTCTACTGTACATTCTTAAGTGCTAAGACATTTATAGTTTTTCTCCTACACTTGCCCCTGACAACATGGACCTGTTCTTGAGCTTGATGTTTGCCTTCATGCACACGCTGACAGATTGTTTCAACTGGGCGATACCGCACATGCTTGGCACACATCGCAACTGTGAATCATGCCTGCATGTTTGAGATCAAGTCAAAGGGTATCAGGTGTCTGTAAGGCGGTGAAAAGGTAGGCTTTTCAATCACTATGAAATTGTTTTGCTGTCTTAATAGAGTACTGTGTTCTCCTGTGGATCAGACCAAGGTGTAACAGTGATTGGACATAATCCTTAGTGCTCTTTACAAATAGCCTAATTTCTAACAAAGACATTATGCAATCAGGATAAATAAAGAAAGTGATGCAAAACTTCTAGAAGGTGTTCACGGATTGAAACAAGATTATTGCGATAATGTGATTTGCTAAATGTTGTATAACTATTGAAACCATTTTAACTCACACTTTGCCAAAATGCCAGCAACTACAAATTGGATTTGGATGGGCTTAAATGAACAAATAGATCAGGTACTGTTTGTGCAAAAAAGAAAAAATGGACGGATGCAGGAATCCTCTTAACCATCTGGTTGGCCCAGTCCTTCAGTATGCCTAATGACACCCCAGGAAAGATGCATAGCACACTCCTTCAACAACCTAAGGCAGCTTCTAGCTTTAAGCAATGCTTCATGGCTGCCTTACATTCTTGAAATGCTGTCATTCTTTGTAACAGGCTCATTCTTACAAGCATGGTACACAGAAAAGACTATTGTTTCAAAAGTGTCGTTCCAGTGTGTTCTTAGGATGACTAGGAACTTTCAGTAGTACTTAAAATTGACATATCCTGAAGTAAAACATCCCAAATATGAGTGTCCCAAACACGGACCTGAGACCAAATACAGTTTCAATTGTAGGTCATAGACATTAAGCTCATGTTGTCAGTAGAAAAGACACCAAGCTAAACCATATAAAGCACTGCTATATTAAAATCCATAGTCAATTAATTATGCATATAATCCATAGTAATTGGCTATATTCTTGATTGTAACGAAAAAGTGGAGAATGACATGCTGGTGAACAAAACACAAAATGAAACAGTTTCATTTCATTCATGGAGGTCACACGGGTTATTCACTTTGCAGTTTGTGTTCGCAGATCGGTCTCAGGACATCGACGTCATCACCCTCTCCCATCCCCTCGCAGTGAATCCACCGAAATATCCCCACATTCAGCTCACCCAGACTTTATACCAAAAATGTAGGGGCTATCAGGAAAAAATCTGGGTTAAATTGGCGTGAAAATTTCAGCTTGTTTGCGTTCACACATGCAGCTCATCCTGGACATTTTTAGTGGTTTTGTACATATTTATAAAGGGCTCAAGTAAGCTTTTGAAGACCCCTATGAAGCTGCAGGAAGTGTGCTTTGAAATTCTCTGTTTTCCATCATATTACTCTCAACTCCTTTTTTATTTTGTATATCCATCTAAAAGAATGTTGCATTGAGTCATCTGTAAGGATATGTCCTACTCCAGGACTGGTTCTTCAAGATTGTTTTTAGAAGGAAAAATCTGGATTTTATTTTCTAATGGCAAGTAAAGGCATGTTTGTGAACAGTGCATAAAGACTTGTACTGTACCTGAACTTCAAAGCATAAAAGAGTTCTGTACACTGTGCTGCGTTAAGACAACACAAAACCAAGCATCCACTGTTGATACTCTTGGCTGATGTCGATAGGGGGGCTTTCTTTTTAAGCATGTGTGTAGTGGAGTATGTTATCCACAGAGGGTGCCCCTTCACTCCACTCCTGGGTGTGAAAGGATGGGGGCAATGGGGGGTGGGCGCTGTAGGTCATACATCCCCAGTGGAGTGTAACAGTGTATGTGTGTTACTGAATGTTTAGGAGTGCTTGGTTGTGCACAGATGGATGAGCAGCAAATGGGAGGAACATGAGTGAGGAGAAACAAACTGGAACTCCGGATTTTGAACCTAGTGTTCTCTATCTCCCTCTGTTTATGTTCATGTGTGTGTTGGTGGAGGGTGGGTTAAAGGCAGAGAGGGATAAAAAAAAAACATTGAGAAGAGTGTGCGTCTCCTGCAGAGAAACAGATGGAATTCCTCATACTGTATGTCTTGAGGAGAGAACTTGTAAGGCATTTCCCCAGTCCTCACCCTGCAGAGAAAAAACAAAATTTGTGGTGTGTATTAAATTAATGTCCATTTACAATATCTTCACCCTGGCCAGGGTTAACATAACATTTAGTTGGGGTGAGGGGGGGTGTTTGTAAGTACATCTAAAATATCTTGGTTATGCATGACTAGTAAGGTGAACATTATGTTTCAAAGAAAGGTCCTTTCTTGTACTACTATATGGCCTTGTTAACTGATCCAAGTGACTGCATTCTAAACCCACTTATTTCTGTCTTATTTCCCTATAGGAAGACAACGAGATCCCTACCAGTGTGTTAGTCAAAGACTCCCTTAAGACCCCTCAACCAAGCCAGTATGATGCAGACTCCATCCACCCTACCCCATCTATTGCTGGTGCTACTCCATCTATTGCTGGCTCTGTTGATTGTAGCCGCACCCAAGAGGAGGGCCTTCAGACCATAAGCCTATCCTCTGATGAAGAGGAATATCTTGCCGCTCACAAAGAGGAGCTGGCTGAGTTTGAGGAAGTAGATGGTTTGGGCACTTCCCGCCCATATGAGAGAAGGGCTGACAAATTCAAGCGCTCCAGCCTGAAGAAGGTCGATAGCCTCAAGAAGGCCTTCTCTCGCCAGAGCATTGAGAAGAAGATGACCCAGATCACCACCAAGATCGTTCCCCCGGAGAAGCGTGAGAAGATCAAGAAGAGCCTTACCCCTAACCATCCCAAGAGCCCAACTGCCAAGAGTTCTTCCTTCAAGGTGTCTCCTATGACCTTCAATATCAAGAAAGTCAGAGATGGGGAAGTACCCACACAAGATGTGGTATCACCTGTGGAAGACGACGCCCATGTGGAGATTACTGCTCTGGGAAGCTTGGATGGAGATGAAGAGGTTCCCCTTGCAGAGGTGCATACCCAAGAAGGCATGGTTGCAGAAATTCAGGAGATGCTAAGTCCTTCCAACCTAGATGGAATAAAGGCAGAGCTGGCTATCAATGGAGAGGCACCAAGCATTGAATGTGAGATAAATGGTGAGCGTTCTGCAGGCTTGGCCACCCCAGAAAATGATGAAATTGTTGGGGAGGATGAAGAGGAGGAGGATGACGACGTAGAAGGAAAAGAAAAACACAAAAGCCCTGTTGCAACAGAAGCAGATGCCCAGATGCCCACAGCAACAATTGCTGTAGAGCAAGTGTCTTAATATGTATGATTGAAGAGCATCAATTCTAGTTTACAAATCTTTCTTTTCTGCCTAAAGTTTCAAGATTTTTGAACACCCAGTATGCCCAAATCATCATTCGCCTTAAACAGTCTTGGTTTCTTGCCCATTACCCATTGTTATCATCACAGTAAACCAGAATACACAACACAAACCATTATACTCTAAAAGTGTTCTCTAGTCATCCATCCTTGGACCAATTTACTCAAGATAGCCATTCCTGGACTGACAGGCTCACCATCCTTGGACCAAAATATTATGGTCGTCCATTCCTGGTTTAATGTACCCAAGTTGTCCATCTTTGGACCAACATAATCGAGGTGCCCATCCTTGGACTATCCTTTTACATATCCTTTGATTATCACCAGCCATGTCTAAAAAAAAAAAACAAAAAAAAAAAAAAAACCTTGTAGAGTCGACATGAGCAAGGTTAACCACTAGACCTCACTGTGTATCCGAATCCAGTGCAAGTGCTTCCTAAACCCTGTAAAAGTGTTGTCTAAAGAATGCAACATTGCACCAATACACCATCACTCATTCCAATCAACGGGTGCCCACCTCTTCAATAGCAGTACATCTCCAGGGCACTGGGCCAACTATCTCCTTCCTGCTCTGTTTGTCTGTCTCTGGAGCTCTCTTCCTCACTGACAAATAGCCTCTTTGTTCTTTGTGTTTTTTTTTTGTTTTTTTGGTGAAAAATAGTAAATCTTTGGCAACAGAGGTCCTGCCCACAGCCTGTTTGAGGCAGTGTGTTGCCTTGGTTGTGCAAGAGTTGGAATGAGGACTTTCTGGGTTTAAAGTAAGACGGTCCTGGAGTGTTTTGTAGTGAACTAGAGGTTTACTGATTTCATTTGGACCTGTGCTGAAAAAAAAATCCCAGATCTTAGATTAAAATTGCACCATCTTTTCAATGTTTTTGTTGCTTCTATCAGGATGTCTAACTTGTTATTCGTGATTTGATAACCATCGTAGAACACATCTATTAAAGGTGGAAAATCAAAGTATTTTAGTGAATGTGATTGCCAATTGAGTAACAATAAAACATCACAAAGGCTGAAAATTTGGATACATATGTATATATTTTTAGTAGTCATGTTGCGGATTACACAAATCAAAATCTGAAAGGCAAAATCTAAAATGATTTCTAGTTACCAGTTTACATGTCTGTGTTCAATCATACTGACACAACTGAAGGACAGCGAAGCAGGATGGAAGCTGCTTTAGATTGACACGAATAAACCTACTGATTTAAATACTAACGTTCTAAATGTTAGAATTACTCCCCTTTGCCTTGTCTGCAAGACAACTGTGTATGTTTATGTACAGAAATTATCTTCAATCTTTTTACGTAAGGTCACACTGCTCTCTGTATTTAGAGCATATAAACCATAAATTAGTACATCTAAGATAACCGCCTTAAATGTGTGTATACTTTATAAAGTTCAAGTTGTATCTGTGATTTTTTTTAAATTACAGTATGACACTCGGGTGTTTGTAAGTTGTCTTTTTCTTTCAGGCATCCATAGACTACATTTTAAATATTTTCGTAGTACACTATGTTGAAGACAACAACAATATCAGGGCTCCATCACAAAGTCCCCTCCTCCTAGACACACACACACACACACACACACACACACACACACACACACACACACACACACACACACACATACAGTGCCTTTACATGCACAAGCTGGTAGGAGTTTTTGCACTCCTAAGAGAAATGTTTCCTATCTCTTTGTAGATTAGAATGATAGTTGAGCATGTCTGGAAGCGTGCATGTTTTTCCTTTTCCTGAGGAATGCATGCTACTTTTATTTTATGGTGAAAAGTTAATACCAGCTGCAAAAAATAAAACAGTGCAATTGAGCTTAAATGAAGTTCAAAATGAATTCACAATTAGATTTGAAAGTCATCCTTGCATTTTATGGCCCTGACTCCCTAAATATAATCTAGCAAGAGATTCCAGGCACCAGGTATCCAGAAGATCCAACAGAGGTCAAGGGGTGGATTAAAGCAGAGGACAGCATTCCTAGCTTTGACGGATTGCTCCTGCTCGGCACATTTTTCATGGTCTTGGCCCTACTTGTTGAGACAACGCAGGGCCACAGGTGTTCTTCTGCCCCCGTGGAGGCTCCTGGGCATGAGTTTGTAGTGAAAGAAGGACAAAGTGTGAGTGCTGGAAGTGTGAGAAAGATCTTGAGTTATTTGGAAAGGATGATAAAAGAACTTCTTCAAAGTTGCCTCAGGGTTAGGCATATAGGTACAGCTTGGCAGAAAGGAGTGAAAATTTTGAATGTCTAAAATGAATTGTTGAGGGGTTCACATACTGGTGTCAGTCTCTGCGGGGTTGTATTACCTATACGCCCCTATATCTACTATTCTTCTAGATGAGATGGAGAAAGGATTTGAAAAAAATTTACAAAAAATATTGATTTCTAGCTATGCAAAACCAGTCTTACTTAAGTTCTAGTAAGCAGGAGAAACTGAGCGCACTTGAAATAGTCAAAATAATCTGAACACTTTCTATTAAGTAATTCATGTCTTAAAAAAATACCTGCCAGTGTACTTCATGGGATCTGTAGGGAGACAACCAATAAATAGACATAACTGATTGTCAACTGTGTTTATGAAATGTGCTTTCTCTAAGGCTTTCTTCATCTTGATTCTTATGTATAAATCATCTCACTTAAAAGGGATCGAACACTAGGCTTACTGTGTACATTATCTGTACTTTAGAGGTTAAATGTGACCGGCTTTGAGTTTTTTCCTGCCTAATCAAGCAAATGTATTACTTTAGTAATACTCCTGCCTGCTAATATTAAAAATGATGCGTCCAGATTTGTCTAAAAGTCTGATTTTATTTGTCTTGAAATTAACCTGTCTTATATTGGTCATATGTGAGAACATATCCACATGATAACCAGGTAGTAATGTATCTATGTTTTAAAAAAAGTTTCTTTATCCTCGTTCCCTTAGTTAACCCCTTAAACCAAAGAAGTTTCCTTCACAGCAGAAGATTCCCTTCCACATGAGTGTTAATGTTCTCCTCCTGACATTTGTTTCAAGCATCTTGTAAACATGCAGGCGCTTCCTTTCAAACTTGTAGTATTTTCATGATCAATAAAGGTTTGATAACATTCACATGTTTGCTGTTTTGACTTTCAGTTCTTCTCTAGCAGAGAGGTAAATGTTATAGGCTGCATTTCATATAAATGAGATTATGGGAGATAATGTTCTTTGTGTCTTGCGTATCATGATAGTGACTCTCCTATTTGACCTATAGTACTGAAGGAAACATGCTGTTAAGGCCCGCTGTCACTAAGCAATTGTAATTTTGAGAGTAAATAATACATAATCTAGTGAAGGTTAGTGTATGTAATAGAGTTGTGGAGTATTAATCTCAGTGTAGGGAGTGGTTAAATTGCTCAATCCTTTATTCATACTGCACAGTTTAAAGATGAATGTTTCTCTAAATCAAACCGAGGGTCAAAGACGGTGGAGATTTGCTTCATTACAAAACATTTTTATAACCTACCCCATTAATATTAACAGCAACAGCTGTGTTATTTGCAAAAAAAAGATGAATGCCCAGTGCATCCACCATATTACAATGAAGGGGAATAAAATGTTCAAATCCCTGTTAAGTTATATTTAAAAAGACATTCACATTTTTTCCATAAATTGAGTCCTTAATAGGCTACTTAGAATAACACACTAATTTGGTTTGAAGCTATACTTACAAAATACTTACGATTAGGCTATGTTGCTGTATTTCCAATTGCCTACTTTGAGCATCACAACTGGAATGATGTAGACCTAATATTGGAAATGCGGAAGACATCATAGGTTTGCCTATTTGCACTTACCACCAAAGGTAACGAGAAGTAGATTATAGCCTGTGAAATTTGAGTATCCGGGTCCATTGACACTGGCATCATCAGCAAATATGCCAATGTTTCAAATTAATAGGAAAAAGAAAAACACACGTAGGAAATGCTCAATAAATCAAGATATCTAAGTCAAGAAACAGGCCTTCGTCACACATCAGGGAACAATCATATTAAAACCATTGAAACACACAAATGGGCTAAAATAGGGATTAAATGGGCATTTACAAATACTGGCACTTCAAAATGGTAAAATGTGCTAAGTAGCGTACAGGCTTTGTTTGTTTGCCTTTCGTTTTGTCCCTTAAAGTTATTCATAAATGGGCCATTCTACCAAATAGGTTCAAAGTCAGGTTGGAAATATTTAGAAATTTTCCCCTATATATATTGTTCCATATCTGAAGTACACATATCTACTAAAAGAACAGTCAAATTTGATATTGTATTTTTAGACTGTTTTGGAATGTATTTTCTCTCCCAAAATTTGTCACTACCGAAATGTAGTATTAAACTATGATAAAACAATATTATGTTAACCTGTTAGTATTATGTTTACTTCCCTTATGTAAAGATTATTTTTACACATTTTTATTGAAGGTTTTCACAATAAAATCAATAAAATGATTTTTTCAACAAATTTCAAATTTCAATTTTTAAAATTCTTCAAAATCTACGTCCAATCTTTCTTTCTAAAATGTAAAACACTGATCAGATTGATTTCAGAGTTAATGATTTGTGAGATGAAACATACAGTTAACCAATCAGTATCATAAAATTTTAGTTGATAACTCTATATATATATATATATATATATATATTTTTTTTTTTTTAAACAACCAGTGTTTTGGTAGTGACCAGTATTTTCTTTGTAGTGTTTTATCATATTCCCTCAACCTTATTGCTTAATTTTAACTCATAACATGCCTGATGTTGGGAATATTACAAGTACGTAGCCTATGTTAAGTGGTCAATAAAATAATAATAATAAATAGAATCAGTAAGTTTCTGTAAGTATCATCATTTCAATCATCTAAAACGCATTTATTTCAAAATGATGAGGTTTAACTACTAACCATTCTATTTTGTCACTACCGAAATGATAATGTCACTACCGAACTTGACCATATGATTCGCTAGTGACTGTTTCAGTAGTGACAATTCAACCTCATTTTTGAGCATAACTAAAGAATGCTAGCAAGCACATGGCTAGCGAACACATCTTTGAAGAGGTGTACACCCCTAGAAACATAATAATTTGCATAAAACCCCAAAAAGTTTACATAATTGAAGAGAACGGTTCGGTAGTGACAATTTTTAAAGTTACACACTGACTTTCAGACTTTGGAGCACATTTATTTAAAAACTATGGGATTTAGCTGCTTATCATTCAGCTATGGGGGACAGGGATGCAATGTCACTTCCTGGTCAAAAATTTCAGGGGTGTGGCTTAAATCTAAACTCAGCCAAGCCACTAAAACGCTTGTGTTTCGGTAGTGACATGAAAACAAGGGACATGATTTTTTGAGCATAGTTTTTTAATTTAAAAATTAAACCCACAATAAATCTAAGTCTTTCAACCTTTGTTTAAATTCAGTCATAAAGATCTTTTCAATTACACAGTTGAAACAAATCTTAAAAAAAATGTTTTAAGTGGTATTTACATAAATTTAAATTTAGGGGTCAGAATTGGGGACAGCTACTTCTCAATAGAAAGTACCCTATAAATTATAATGTTTTTATTTATTTAGCTTATCACTACCTCATTTAATGCCCTGGGTTTAAATAGATCATAATATAATCTCAGTAAATATCCATGTCTGAAAACTTAACAACTTGTTTTGTTAAACCTATTTTTTTGTAATGGGACTGCACTTTGAACTCATTCGGTAGAATGCCCCAAATACTGATGTAGGCTATTAACACATGGAGGTTTTCTCTGAACTCCTCAATGATGGTGAAGGTGAGCCCTGGAGTTACCATGGTGTTTGTCTCCCTCTTGTGTCCAAAGTGAAGATGACACCATGTGCATTCTTCCACAACATTATCTGACATTTGACAAGTCTCTGTTAAAATAAGCGCGTCAAAAAAAACAAATCGGAAAGCTTTCACGTCTTCTGCCATCACAGTAGAAATGACGAGCTTATTTATATATTTAAATGCTCATTCGGTGCAGTTTCTTCTTTAAGTCGTCACGGTGGCCGAGAGGTTAAGGCGTTGGACTCGAAATCCAATGGGGTTTCCCCGCACAGGTTCGAATCCTGTTCGTGACGTAACCGTTTTGCATTTTATAAGTGTTCTGTCGAAAAGTGCTACCCATCGAAAAGTGCTACCCTACGGATCTGTTCCGCTCAGGAAGCATTATTTGATATGGGATTTTTCTATTGATAAATGCCTTCTCCAAAATCTAAACGGGAATCTACGGGTTTTATAACAGAGTATCAAAACAGTCCCCTTCATTTACAGTGCAAAAAATCAGCTATTTGTGGTGTTCTAAAGGGATTAGGTTATGGGAGCTTTATTTGGTAGATGAATGTCCGTCGAGATAAAATATTTCCCCTATAATCTTAAATAATAGAGAACCAAAACTTGCTCCCCATACTCTGCAAATGCGTACATAGTGATTGATAAATTGATAAAATAGTGTTTGTTCTGGTAGCAATATGTAAGCTACGTTAAATTAAAGATCAGTGTAGCTTTCAATGGCAAAAATTATCTCTGCTTCTTCTTGGATTTAGTCGGCAAAACACACTGGTCCTCCCGGTTGTTATGGTGCATTCAGGTGCTCCTTGGAGGAAAGTCGTTCTTTTAACTTCTACAATAAGTGTTGACGTGATTTCAGTTCGGGAAGTCTGAATGTCGTAACAACAACAACAACAACAACAACAACAACAAACGTCGTGGATGTTACGAAGAAGATGTGTGAATGTCTCTAATACAAATTATATTTCAGCAAAAAGTTGATACGTGAATTCATAAAAAAAAGTACCTTAACATTAGCTAAACGTATTTTGTGATGACGATTCTGACGGCAAGTCGGGCAACTATTTCTTTTCCGAGTTTCCGAGTTGTTGTTCCGACTTGAGCAGTCGTTCGTGTGCATTTTTTTTTTACAACTCGGAAACTCGTTTTTCCGATGCGTCCGCGTCCACCACACGAATGCACCATTATTGGAAGGGAAAGGGTGAAACCAACTACGACCTCCTCTTTAAGCACATTCTCTGCATGAAATAACAAGACTGCATTTAATTCAACAACAAATGAATTAAAACAAAAATAATATTAATAATATTAAGTCGGCATGTTTGGTTAGGACGCACATCAAGGGAAAAGTCTACGTTTAAATCCCCTTTTCCCACGAAGATAATGGAACTTACCGCGTTGGCTAAAACAGACCGGCACTGCGCTCTGACGTCACATTTGGGGCATTGTTGAAGCAGGGGAAAGCGTGAAGTCAATAGCGTGTACAGATTTTATACAAAGCCTTTGTGTGTGTGTTGTGTAGGCATAAATAACCAGGGCACCGAACATAAACCCTTTTAGATAAACTGTGTCGTTGAAAGGGGACCACAGCTTTAGACACACAAGTCTCGCAACAAAGCAGACTGCCGCGCTAGCCGCCATGCTAACAGCTAATCACTACAGAAATGCGCTCGAGCTGAAAATATTAACGTAAACTGAAGTCGTCTGCGTTGCTAGGGGAGACAACAAATACGTTGTCAGGGTGGGGAGAGACGTGAAATCAGTCTCTTTAATAGTTAGCGGAAGAGATAATAATCACTAATAACCAGGGGGAGCGGTCATAAATACATCCGAGGATTGAGTCGCAACTTACTGATACTATTTTATGTGGCCAACAAGCTTCTTTTTTTTTTTTGCTTTAAGTGCGTTCATCGTGTGAATTGGATTATTGTGAAGATTCAATCTGTCACTATGGCGAAAATCGTGGGGAAAAGACGCATCCTGAAGTGTGAAAGAGGGCAGCTAACCAACTAGCTGCTTTAGTGCTGCGGTGTTCACTGCGAACCAGTGTGGTCACATTGCTAGTTTGTTTTGTCGTTTTTCAAGGGTCCAGTTTTCACTTTTCGTAACGCAAAAGTAGTCGACCACCCCACAGAGCATACCTCAAAGAGTCTGGAGCAGCTTTTAGTGCCCACTCGGCCAGCAGGCTAAATGAGGTAGCTTAGCCACACAAAAAAGCTAACCTTGTAGCTACACAGTAACTACAGTGAGCTCGTCTTCTTCTTCTTCTTCTTG